ATACCATGAGGCTTTAGCCACATGAGAAGGAGCATGCACGTTCCAAACCCTTGTAAAAAGATCCATTTCTTCAGTACATTTTTATTCCCTAATACAACAATTGACAAAAATACCATTTCACTTTAAAAGAGAGAAATCAGTATTTATATTAAAGATAAAGGTTTGATTGCTTTTGATTAATTTAGCCTTTTCTGCTGCAAGACTGGTTTCCATGGAAATGCAAGCAGACTAAAAACCTGCAACCAGAACTAAGTCAGTTTTGCCTGTTTATGTCTCCTCAGTTCCCATGGAAACAGACATTTAAAAAAAAAAAAAAAAGGATAAGGGTCCTGAAATACCTTCAGAAAATCTCTTCCCAGAGCTTTATCTCTTTGGCTGCCTTTCCAGAATTAGAGTGGAAAATAACACGGAGCAACAGATGACAAAGTAGTGACTTGATTTCTTTATGGAGACATCAACAAAACATACCTGGAGATGTTTCAAAAGCCACTTTCAAACTGACAAGCTCAAAATCTGTAGCTACAAATTGTATTAACTTAAGTTTTGGCAAAAGTACCTGAAGTACAGTATATATTGCTTTAAATTAATTCAATGCTAATGTAGATAGAAATACAATACAGAATAGGAAAATAGCATCATACTGTCCTTGTCCCAAGTATATTTCAATACTGGGGGGCGGGGGGGGGGATAGGGGGCAAGCTGCCTTAGGGGAACGAGTCCAATATTTCCATAGCCAGGACATTTTTTAATGGAATCATTCCCTCCTTACAACACATTCATTTTTAAGTTGCAAAATCAGCTATACACATACCAGGTTAAGTAACAAACATCAATATTAAATTTTAACATGACTACATTCTGTCCTTCAGTTATGGGTAAAAATGCATTCCTCCAAGCTGATAAAGCAAATCTAAGAGGCACCGTCAGCAAGACTCCTTCTCCCATCGTACTTTTCAAAGATAATGGGGCAGCTTCCCCTGTGCTGTCTTCTTCACACTCGTACAGGTAACATCTTCCTTCCTCCTCAGAGCCAAAAGCATCAGGGAAGGTAGAAGGGATAGGAGAGGGAGTTGTTAGCAAAGAGGCTGCAGTGCATGTCTCAAACCTTCAAAACCTGCTCCTATCACTACCACTACTACATAAGAATTCCCTGACAACTCTGTCCAGAAACACAATGAACAGAGTTATGATTATCTGCTGCTGCAAGGTCCTTCTAGAACGTACAGGACAGCTAAACCTGATACCAAACTTCTTATTTCCTTGTTTGTCTCCCACATCACATTGTCAGTTCTACGTGCTTAGCACACCTCTGTGCAACTCAACACTCTCAATCAGAGGGCTGCAGCATCTGTCATTATTGCCTGTCTGGGAAGAACGTGCAAGGACGGTATACGTCTCTTACCACTGTTGTCAGAGACTGAAGCTGCATTACAGAAATCAGGAAAGAAAAAAGAAAAAGGAAAGCTTACCTCTGTCCTAAACACTGCTCATATACTCCCAATGATCACCAGAACTCAAAAGCCCTCCTGCATTCACACTGTTACACACCACTTTTTTGTACTTTGCTACTGTTCTGAGAACTAACAATATATTGCCACCGACATGAAAGAAGGCTCGGGGATCGTAGCCAGCCATGATACTCACTAAAAGGATGAGAGAGGGGTAGCAGTCACTGGAGGTTTGTCTTGAATGCAAGAAGCAGTTGAACTTAATTCAACCTTAATTAGTTCACATTAGCTGAATTCAATCTATTCTTGTCACAGGAAAGATAAGCCTTAGAGAATTAATTCTTTCCTATTCTCCTTTGTATTTTGGCAAGGTGCAGAGTCACACAGTAAGGAGAACAATCTCTCAGAACTCACTAAGGCATCACTCATGGAGGACAGATTTAATGTTAAAAGGAGATGCTAAGAGAAACACTGATGTGTATCTTTCAGTCTATTCAGAAGTTTAGCCTCCTTTCTTGGAGGTGTCAGAAGTACAAATAAACACATTACTTTAACTATTAATTTACTTTAGCAGCTAAATATACAAACATCGAAGTCTCAGTGTGACTAGATTCCTTACAGAGTTACCATTCAAATTTATCCATAACAACAACATACACAGGCATTTTCTAAAACATTAAGTGAACAAAACACACAAGCAGCAAGTAAGCAGATCAAGTGTTTTTCACCATACTCTATGGTAAATTTGTTTGTGTCCAATATTAAATACAGGTGTCAAGTTTACTAAAACCAGTCTCTGAAGAGATTGCAAGGGTGTCGGATATCAGGATCAGCTTAGTTTCATGCCCTCTCTAACACAAAAAACAGAACAGAGAAAAGATGAATGTGACTACTGAAGCTAGGGAGTCACTATTACACAAAATAAAGACACTGGTCACAAGAAAAGAGAAAATAATTTAATAAGAAGATAACTTGCACATAAAATCAATAATCTTAGATTATTAATCACCCCAAAATTAACACATCTAACTTAGTTTTGCCTTTGGGGACATCAGCATTATCATATTAATCTTAAGGAAATTTGCAAGGTCACACACTGAATTGTAATTCAGGAAATAAAACCACAAACAGCTATCAAGCACCACCTGTCTTGTGCACTGAACTAAGCCAGGCTCCCCTTCAGAAAACAGAAAGTATAATTATACATTGTATCGTATTACACAGGCTCAAGGAAGCCTAATCATGGTTAAATGAGCAACTTGAATTCTGTCATTTGTTAACTTGCAAACGCTTATTTATAGAAGCTTAACATTAACTCTTCATATCAAGTTTGCCAGTACAGGCTTTCAAATTTGTATTTTAAATCTGCATAATCATGTAAAATTACATGCATAATCATGTAAAATTAAATGATAAATAAAACATTTTTTGATGTATACAAAACTCTGAAGATCAACTGAAAACTGGTATGACCTTAACTGTTTTCAAAAGTAATCACAGAAAATTTTGCCCTCGTACACTAGACTGCTGTTTACACTAATATTTCAAGGAGCTTCATCTGATATTCAAGACACAATCCATAAAAGTGTCTAGAAGAAAAGGAAAAATGGTACAGCCCGTATCAATTGTGACAACTGATAAAGATCAATAAGCTAAATCTTCAAACTAGCATCATTGCTTTGTACACGTTGAAGAAACTTAATGCAAGCACTGCAATTTCCAAGAATAAATGAAGAACACATTTTACACACAAGATTAGAAAAAAGGAGACACATCCCTAATAAAAATTCTGTGACATCACCTCACGGTGCTCGTGTCAGAACATCCTGGGTACCCGAAAGCAGCCAGTACGCTCAACAGAAATCACTCTAACTAGGCTGCAACTTAAAGTCATCTTCCCGCGTAAAAGCGTTCCACTTACAGAAATCCACAACGTTTGCATATAGATTTGCAGCATCGCATCACAAGGCACAGTTACCACAAAACTCCCCGGGGACTGACGTGGCATAAAGTAACAAATGGCACACAAAACCAAAGACACAAAATCCAAAGAAGCGAAACCTGAGGAAATTTAGAACCCCCCCCAGCACCTTGGTATATGGCACATGAACACAAAGCTTCTCCTCCACATTTAACAAAGTTCACATACAAGTTGTGGCCTGAAGGGTTTTTTTGCAGGCCTTGGGAAGTCCCAACACAATTTCTGGTGCTATGAAGGAAGTAAAGGATGGTAGGTGGTATAATTTCGTAACAGGTCATCATGTGGTAGCAGTTACGGCAAAACTGTTCTTTTAACTACATTCTGTACTTATTTTCACGCAGGAAGGATTTTCTATACCTCGTCGACTTAAGTGCTAGTTTTCAGAAGGTCACAATCAAGATTTTTGAGTCCCTCTCTGAAGCACAAACCTGAAGAAACAATCCCTGCTCAGAAAGACACTACGCATCTCCTTTTACAAATTCAGTTTTCCAAGACACCTTAGCAGTCCTCCTGTCAAAATCACTGCATCAGTGCAAATGTCGCATCCAAGTCATCATATGTCATCATGCAAAACTTCTCAGAGCATGCAACAACAGATACGGAGCATGTAGAGGTAGAAAAATATTAAGTTTAATACGCATTGCTGTAGAAACCTCCAGCAGCATGCACAGAAACACAATAGCAAAGATGGAATCTGATCGATGGCTTTTTGTGGGACAGAGAAACAATCCTACTGGATCAGTGTTTCTCAGCCGCTGATCCAGGGAGCAACGGTTGGCTGTGAGACATCTGAAACAGTCCATGGAACAGCTGCAAAGAAGGCTGGCTTGTGTTTTGGGTGGGAGGGGGAGAGGAGGGAATTGTTGTCTTGTTTTGACATTTTCAATAAACAGTTCTCATGTGCAAGCAAGAAAGCAATCAACACAACCAAAAATAAGATGGGTAACTGAGCAATCAAACCTCAGTCTAATTTATATCTCATTGCAACTAAAACCTCCTATGGCATGACCGCACAGTACAATCCTCAGATTGTATTCAGTGAGGTCAGATGTCTCTTTGGGCTTAAAAAGGTCAAGACATATCATTTTAAATGACAGATAGTTAGCAGATAATAACACGGAAGATAAACGGAAGATGAGGATTTCTGAAGGACAAAGTAAGATGATGAGGTAACCAGCATATATGATCATAGAAAGAAATCAAAATCTGCCAGAGAAAAAACCCTTGTCTTAGGTATTTTTAAATGTACAGAAAAATTCATGGAACAAAAGCTCACAAACTCTTTATTTTGACAATTAGGGATCATAAACTAATATTCTAAGAACTGAAGTCTCTAATACTAGCTTTATAGAGCATGAACCTGCTTTTGTACCCAGTAATAAAAGTAAAGCCATAAAGAGCATTAGGTAATCACAAATTCAACCCCTTAAGTATACTAAAAGCTCCAGCATTTGATTGGGCTTAATCACATCCCTCTAATACTACTAAATCAGAACCACCTCAGTACTATTGCAACTATTTAACAGACATTTTAGGGAACCCAGAAGCAGTTACACGGTGCTCATACTTACTTGAATCCTCCCATCTGAGAAGGTGCAACTTCCAAGCAGAATAGTACAGAAATCCCAGTACCAGAAAGAGGCAGAGGGCTAGCAGCAGGTTACGCATAAACACCAACAGTCCCATCTTCACATTAAATCTGCTCTTCTACATGACCTGAGAAAGAAAAACAGGTTGAGGTTGGAGCCACCTTCTCCCACAGTCATCCTTCCAAAACATGCAATCCCATACCCACAATAACACACAGATCCAAAACCGTGCTTTCCACAAGGTAAAACACACCAATTACCCAAACCGCATCAGTGAAATATGAACTACCACCCTAAGTAATTGCCCTTTTTTTTCTTGTCACAAGGGTAAATGCCGTTCCGGAGAGACAGGAGGGCACTGCAACGCTATGACAGGGCAGCAACCCAACTCCTTCTTTGCACTTACGCCCCAGCCCACTTCAGATAATCAGTCCCAGAACCGCCACAGCCGAGGAGGCCTGGCGAGCCCCGCCGTCCCCCCCGGGCCGGGGAAGCCCAGAAAGCGAACCCACAGCGCCCGGGGGGGGGGTCCCAGGGACAGCGGGG